ATATACAATATCAATTTTGTTTCACCCAATGTAAAACCCTTAACTATACCCAATAAAAACAGTTGTGGAGAAAATTGAATTTTTTTCTTCAAAACATTCTGCATGACCCACCAAATTTTTATCCAAAAAGCCTTAACTTTCCTACAGGTCCACCAAACATGATAATACGTAGCATCCAAACATTCACATCTCCAACATTTTGGCTGAACATTAGGGTACATACATGACAACTTTTTGGGATCTAAATGCCATCTATAAAACATTTTGTAGAAATTTTCCCTCAAATTCTGCGACTGTGTAAATTTAACATTCTGAACCCAAATTTTTTCCCATGTTTCCAGCATCACTGGTTATTCAAAATTCTGTGCCCACTTAATCATACAGTCTTTAACTAATTCGGTTTCTGAATCTCTTTCTAGCAAAACATTATAAAGCCTTTTGATATGCATTGGACCTTTCTCTCTTATTTGTCTAACCAATTCTTCCTCATGCAACATAATACCAGTTTTTTGGTCCTCTTTCCATCTCAATTGTAATTGATTATATTGTAACCAAGTTAAATTAATCCCTTCGTCCAACAGTGTCTGCAATGTCTTCAGCTGCCATCTGCCCACATCTGTAAAAAGAACCTCTTTATATAAAAACCCCCCGAGTGACATTATATTTGTATTCCACAAAATATGACCAAGATCCAGCCATAGCGGTATTTTATAATCCCATTTGAGTCGGTGCTTCTTCCAAACTCTCATCAAAGAATCTCTAAGTATATGACTTTTAAATACTTTATCTACTTTGTCGTCGTAAAATAAGTAAGCATGCCATCCAAATTCAAGATCAAAACTTTCTGGCTGCAGACTTCTTGTAGCGAAACTTACCAGTGTCGTGCTCCCCTTCTTAAATGCGCCACTGCCATCACACCCTGTTCCATGCGCCATCCATGCATGCGCATACCATTTATTCATTCATCAGTGGCAGCAAGCAAGGGTGTGCACATGTGTGGCTGGTGCATGGAACAGGGCGGCAATAGCGGCAGCACGTTTAAGAAGGGAAGCGTGGCTCTAGTAAGTTTCACTACAAGAAGCCTGCAGCTGCTGCATCTTTCGGCACCAGAAGCGCCTCCAGGCGCACCAAAAAAAAGAGGCTGCGGCTGCAGGCATCTCGCGACAGGGGAAAATAGGCAGAATAGAAAATAAAAAATTTTAAAAAATTCTACTGGGTTCTGTGGGCATGGCTTGGTGGGGGATGGTCATGTGACTGAGTGGGCATGCCTGTGAGTGGCGTTGAGTTGGCCACGCCCACTCAGTCACAGGACCCCACCACCAAGCCACACCCACAGAACTGGTAGGGAAAATTGTTAGATTTCACCACTGCTTTAGTTAGTTTCTTTTATTTCATTTAGGAAGGCTATTTAAACACCGTCCTTATGACCGTCTGTCTGAGAGTTAATATTATTTGTACTTCTACAAATGGTGTTGATTTCCCTTTTTTACTGTCAGATTGTTTTTTCTGAATATATGAATTTTGAAAGTGTTTTGACTGAACAGTACAGCAAATGTTTCACAAGACAATGCAATGCAATTAATGTCATCTGCCTTGAGAAATTGTTTTGAGATGTGATTTATGGAAAATAGAAATATTCATGGTTATGAATGAGTGCTTTCAATAGATTGTTTTAAAGGGGTTGGAGGAAAGGAGGGCCAAGCCTTACCCTGCCATAAACTGCTGACAGGCATCGTCTTCTCTCTTTCTAATGCTTTTTCTCCATCCTTTTAATTCTTTTTTCTCTCTTTTGTGTGTTTCTCCATTTGGATCTCTCTGCTAAAGCTAGGGGGGGCAAAGGACACATGCTTCAGAACAAATGCATTGTGTGAAGTTTTATTTTTATTTTTTTATTTGCAAAAACAGATGATTCAGAAGGACGGTGGCATGAAAGCAGAAATGAGTTTGTGTGTGAGAAAGGGGGAGAGTGATAAAAAGAGGAAGACTCTTCACTAACCTTTCTCCTTTTCTCATGTTGCTGATGATTCTTATCTGTTTTACTCTCATGCATACACAGATACCATTATCTTTACATGCAGTGGAACAAGGTACTAGATTTCTGGGAATTATAAAAAATTAGGGTTGGCTGCATATGAGAAATCACTACCATGTTGTTATTACATAAAAAAAAACCATGCATGTTGCTTGAAAACAAGCATAATGACAGGAAATAAATTAAGCTAAAACTTGAATAAGAGCCAATTTGGTGTAGTGGTTAAGGCACCAGGCTAGAAACCAGGAGATTGTGAGTTCTAGTCCCACTTTAGACATGAAGTCAGTCTGGTGCCCTTGAGTCAGTCCTAAGAGGAAGGCAATAGCATACCATTTCCAAGAATATGCCAGAAAAACTGCAGGAAGCACAGCCACTCCATGAAACCTCAACTGCCTCATCCAAGCCCAGCAGCACAGTACAAAAGTTTGGCATACCATGGCTCTGGAGCTGCATGAAGCCCCTAAGTCACAGCACAGTGCAAATCCCTTTGCAGTGCAAAGCCCAGCCCAGGAACACAGCATGCAGCTCTGTAGTCCCAGAGCTGCTTGATGCACTGCAGCTCTGGGACTACAAGAAAACCACTGAGCCACTGCACAACATGAATTCCTTTGCAATACAAACTCCAGCTCAGCTCAGCCCAGCCCAGCAGTGTGGTGCAAAACTGCAGTTGCCACCCAAAGCTGCTGCTACTCCAACCTAGTTCCCAGCCAGTCACCTTCACAACCTTGCACTCCGAGGTTCCTACCACCCTGTGCTTTATTGTTCCAGCTAACCTTTGCTATCTTCTTGCTCACGCTGCTGACCAGGCATATCCGACCTGGCCCTTCACAGGGCAGCTAATGGCCTGTGAGGCCATCTTCCTCAGGTCTTGCAAAGGAACCACTGTGTGTGACTTGCAACAAAAAAAGCCTTATATGGTCAGCAACTGCCTCATGAAGAGACAGGCCAGCCACACGTACAGTCGTCAGCACTTGGAGCAAAAACACAGCAAAAATCAGCTAGGGCAGCAGGAGCCATGGAGTGCCAGGAATCGAAGGAGCATACCATGTTTCCCTGAAAATAAGTCCCTGTCTTATAATTTTTTTGAACCCCAAAATAAGCGCTTGGCCTTATTTTCGGGGTGGTCTTATTATTTTGGGGCACGTGGAGAAAGATGGGACTCCTCTTGCCGTGTTGCCTGATTTCCAGCTCTGCGTTTAAATATTTTCAGGGAGGGCTTATTTTCGGAGGGAGGCTTATTGTAGTGCATGCACTCAAAAGCTCAATTGGGCTTATTATCAGGGGATGTCTTATTTTCAGGGAAACAGGATAGATGGGGGGAAAGGTGGATGGGGGAAGTTGGAGTGTCTCTGCAATCGTAAGTGTAGGTGGGCTGCCAAGTGCCTGAATTTTGATCATGTGACATGGGGGCACTGCAACAGCTGTAACTTTGGAGTCCAGCCATGAGTCCCTTCATTTACACTGCCATAAATTTGAATAGTTGCTGAACAAATGGTCATAAGTTGAAGACTACCTGTACATGCATGTGCAGATGCACTAATACATACTACTCAGGGTTTTTTTTCAAAATGCAAGCCTTTATCTCCCCCAACCCTATTCATACATGCAAACTTACTGACTATATAGTGCTTACTTGCAAGATACATTCTCTCCCTTTCTCTCTCACTGTTTATCTCACACTCAACCCACCTGAGATATGATAGGCATTTTGCAAGTTAATAAAAATTCTGCATTCCCCCATCTGTCATCTTTGTATTTTTTTTTAAGCAATACACCAGCTTTTAAGAACTGATAACAGCTATCAGTTCAAAGACCAAGGCAAGTCGGAAGAAAATTTATATCGAGCTGTCAGTTAGAAAGGAAGCATGTTGGAAAATATTCGGGTATTTGAAGTGAGAACTGGAAGGGGAGCAAGTTTAAAGATTAAGGTCAAAACAGTTCAGTTTGTGATTTGAGTCTTGTGGTCAACATTGTTTTTCATTTTGCATGAGAAAGAATCCATTTTTTCTTTTCCATGGCTCCACCCGGAATTTGCCACTGGTCCCCAGTTCCTGAACAAATACAAAGAGTTCAGTTGGGATTTGTAAACTAGTTTTAAGGAATTTGTTTATTCAGCTTAGAAACTTCCAGTTGGTTTTGAATGTCAGAAGGAAGTCATGTCATAGTACTGTATTAGATTATAGGAGGCATAAAACTGGGAAATCACCTACAACCCACTACAGAGATACAGTCTGCTATAAGAGGAAAAGAAGAGGAAAACATTTTAATCCATTAAAGTGATACTACTCCAAAGGGAGGATGAACCTCCAAAATGCTTCAGTATTCCAACAAACTTGTGCCTGCACTTTCAGGGAATAGTTATATTTTGTCCATTTCCATAACTATCTTCAAACATCAATCTGCCTTGGAGAAGAATAAAAACAAATATGCCAATACCTCCTTTCCCTCAAATCTGAACACATTGGATTATAGACATAGCCAACATTGTGTTTCTGTGTTCAGGTATGACTGCAAAGACAGTCAGCCACATCTATCAAATGAGATCTAGAATCCTACTTTCCTTGATTAGTATGATCTGAATAAAATTGCTTGGACTGTTTCATTGAGACAATTAGTTTTTATTTCAGGTAGATTTTATATACACCATATTGTTTTATGTGGGCCTTCTTAGCTACTTTGAATCACCAATTATTGGCAGATACAGTAAGTTGGCAAGTTACTACCCCAAGAAATCTTTGTAGACATCTCTGCCTACATCATCATTTTATGAAAAATAGAACTGGCAATGCCATGGACACAGAAATAGGCTGAGGAATGATTTATTCAGGATGACAATTATGATTTTCTTTGACTAACGTTGGAATCAGACCTTGGTAGTAACATTTTTGTATTTTGAAGAGAAATACAAAAGTTGTGATGACCTTTCCAAAGTTCATAACATGTCATTTTCTTTCCTTGTTTTTAAAAGATATTGATGAATGTACCACTAGTGCCCACACCTGTAGGTCAGATCAGGTCTGTGTCAACTTAAGGGGATCATTCGCCTGCCAGTGCCGAACTGGATATCAAAAACGAGGAGACCAGTGCTTTGGTAAGTACAACACTGCAAAATGTATTTTGTGGGGTTTTTGGCCAGGCTGAAGCAGCAGCAGCCCAGCAACACTGAAGCAGCCACAATTCCCTTGGGAGTAACAGGTCCCAAAATTCTGTAACTTATCCCATTTGAGGGGCATTTGTTAACAAAGCGAAAAGTTATAGACACTGGAGTTTTAGTAATATATAGTAATATATAGTAATATATATATATATATATACACATAAACACTCAAAGACACACACACACACACACACACACACATATATATATATATCCTGTTTCCCCTAAAATAAAACATCCCCTGATAATAAGCCCAATCGGGCTTTTGAGTGTATGCACTAAAATAAGCCCCCCCTGAAAATAAACCCTTCCTGAAAATATTTAAACACATGCGCGCCGGTCCCCGCCATTTCCTCTGGTTTCCTCCACATGCCCCAAAATAATAAGACCTCCCCGAAAATAAGGCCAAGAGCTTATTTTGGGGTTCAAAAAAATATAAGACAGGGTCTTATTTTCAGGGAAACATGGTACACATACATACATACATACATATATATAAAGTAAAGTGTGTGTATATATATATATATACACACTTTATATATATATAGTATATATATGTATATAAAGTATATATAAAGATTCCCCTCGCACATATGTTCTAGTCGTTCCCGACCCTAGGGGATGGTGCTGATCTCCATTTCAAAGCCAAAGAGCCAGCACTGTCCAAAGACATCTCCGTGGTCATGTGGCCGGCATGACTAAATGCCAAAGGCGCACGGAACACTGTTATCTTCCCACCAAAGGTGGTCCCTATTTTTCTACTTGCATTTTTTATGTGCTTTCGAGCTGCCAGGTTGGCAGAAGCTGGGAGAAGTAACGGGAGCTCACCCCGTTAAGTGGCACTAGGGATTTGAACTGCTGACCTTTCAATCGACAAGCTCAGCGTCTTAGCCACTGAGCCACCACGTCCCTTTCAATATATAGTATAGATGGCCATATATAAGTTTTTGCAATGAAATAAATAAATAAATGGACACACATATGGAAATAACAGGTTTGCTATTACTCATCCTCTGCAGCCAGCAGAGTGGTTGCATTCATGAGGATGATGAAAGTTGTAGTTATCACACGTGAAGGATAGGTAGCTGTGAAAAGCTACTACAAGGTTTAAGATGGAAAGCTTTTAAGAAGACTGTGCATTGAAATATTTGAAAAAAATAAGTTCAACATGTAGAAGTATGTAGAAGCACCTATTTTCAAATAATTAAAGCAGCCACGTGGTCTCTACGTGTTTATGCCTGCACATAAGAGGGTAGCTGCTAAACCAGCACACGGACATTGCAAATGACAGACCCAGACGCGTTATCAATTCAAAAATAGGTGCTTTATATGCTGTCTCACGCACTATGAAGCACGTATGTCAAATATTTTGCCCTGCATCTCTCTGACCACCTTGATTTTGGGGGATAATTTTAATTTTTGGTTTTAAAATCCTATGATTTTTCCATTCAATGTCTGAACTTGATGGATTTCAAGAGAACCCAGTCAGAGTTCAAACAGTGACTTTTGACTGAGATTTACAGAATGATCCTAGCCCTAGCCCTAAAGAGCTGCTATAGGAAGGCCTCTTAGTAGGAAATTCCTTCTTACCCTCTCTGACCAGCAATACCACTCTGCGTATCAGTCTTTGGCTTTTTTTTTTTTAAGGAGTACAGGTAGTCCTCGACTTACGACCACAATTGAGCCTAAAATTTCTGTTGCTAAGTGAGACATTTGCTAAGTGAACTTTGCCTCATTTTACAACCTTTCTTGCTACAATTGTTAAGTGAATCCCTGCAGTTGTTAAGTTAGTAATATGGTTGTTAAGTAAATCAGGCTTCCCCGTTGACTTTGCTTGTCAAAAGACCACAGGAGGTGATCACATGACCCCACAATACTGCTAACGCCATAAATATGAGTCCGTTGCCAAGCATCTGAATTTGGATCACAGGACCATGAGGATGCTGGAATGATCTTAAGGGTGACAAACGGTCATAAGTAACTTCTTTTAATGCTGTTGTTATTTTGAACAGTCACTAAATAGCAATAGCACTTAGACTTATATACCATTTCATAGTGCTTTACAGCCCTCTCTAAGCCATTTACGTGGTCATCATATTGCCCCCAACAATCTGGGTCCTCATTTTATCAACCTCGGAAAGATGGAAGGCTGAGTCAACCTTGAGCCGGTGAGAATCGAACTGCTGGCAGTCAGCAGAATTAGCCTGTAATACTGCATTCTAACTACTGTGCCAGCACGGCTCCTCTGTTCTAACTTGTAAGTCTGTTGTAAGTCGAGGACTACCTGTATATGGAAATTAGTTTCCACTAAGAATGCCAATGTATTCTTAAAATTAAAGATGGTGTTGCACATTGATATTTTTCTTTGCAATATGCTACTTTTCTATTAAATTTTGGTTTAATGAAAAATGCATAAAAGAAAATCAAAAAGGAAAGTGAGGGGCACAAAAGAGGGTGTTTGAAGATATTGCTGCTCATCAGTTCCATGTATACAATTCCTGTGATATTAAGATCATATGTGGCAGTTCATTCTTTTTTTGTAACTTCATTTTTGGAATTATTTTTAAAATATTTCTGTTCTAATGGCAACATAGACATTGATGAATGCACGTTCCCTTCCTTTTGCCACCATCGGTGTGTGAACAGTCCTGGTTCCTACCACTGCCACTGCAATGCTGGCTTTCAGTTAACACCTGACAACCGCACATGTGCCGGTAAGCACACTTTGGGACATTTCTGTAGAAATTGTCATGTTTAATTATTTTTTTTACTGTCATATTTTCTGGTTATTAAAATGCCAAATGCATGGAATCCAATGAAGATAGCTATTTATGTGGCATATAAAATGGCCAGTCACTTCAAGAAATGCAATCATCGAAATACTTCCTGTATGTGATTTCATTTTTGTTCTTTTACAGAATAATAATAAAAAGAAAAGGTACTCTATATCAATAATAGTGATTTAGATTTAACTTAGCCTTTTCGTTAGTGTTAAATTTATATTTGTTTTAAAGTATTGCTATGATCCTGTCTTGGTGTGTATATGGTGCGTTTTTTATTTCAGTTTCAAATATCTTTCAGTTATGGATATTTGTATTGATTTTGTTATGAACTTTTAGGGAACTAATTGAAGAGTAGTTATAGAATGATAAAAGTAATTGCTAAAATCCCCCCCCCCCCACGAATATCTTCATCCAAAGTAGTGTTGTAATATTAATTTTCCCAGAGTTCATAAAATTATTTCTGAAAAAGCTAACCAAAGGTTTCCAAAAGTGGGCGGGGTGGGTGGGTGTGCCAATGGGTACGTTTGAAATGTTGAAAGTCTGTTGGGCATTTAAAGAAATGAGGAGATGGCTTTCCTCTTCCAAAAAAGGCAAACACAGAGGGCAGAGGGTTGCTCAGCACAAAACACCCAGATAGACTTGTATAATTACCTCCTGTATCTTGGTCTAATGCTGGGAACGATTGAGGGCAAAAGAAGAAGGGGACGGCAGAGAATGAGGTGGCGGGATGGAGTCACTGAAGCAGTCGGCGTGAGCTCAAATGGTCTCTGGGGATGGTAGAGAACAGGAAGGCCTGAAGGAAAGTTGTTCATGGGATCACGATGGGTCGCACACAACTTCACAACTAACAACAACAATATCTTGGTCTAGCACTTGTCTCAGCTCATCTCAGTCTTAAACTGCCCTTTTTCTATCAATGGGTGACTTTAGAGAATAAGTATAGGCATAAGTATAGGCGTAATTTATGAGTAAATTTAAGATACTTAGGAACAGTAGTGGGTTTTACTTACCTTTGCTACCGGTTCAGAACTGTGAGCATGATGACGTCCGGGCGGGTGGGCGGAGCCTCCTGCCGCCGCCGCTACTGGTTTATCCAAACCAGGATGAACCGGTTGAAACCCACCACTGCTTAGGAAGTTCCATGTCACATCGTATGAGAGTCAAACATTGGGAATATTTTGGATTGAGTATAATGGATATATTGAGCCAGTTTGATGTAGTTGGTTAAGGCATTAGGCTAAAAACCAGGAGACTCTGCGTTCTACTCCTGCCTCAGGCACAAAGCCAGCTGAGTGACCTTGGGCCAGTCACTTTCTTTGAACCCCTAGAAGGAAGCAATAGCAAACCACTTCTGAAAAACCTTGCCAAGAAAACTGTAGGGACTTGTCCAGGCAATCTTCAAGAGTTGGCCATGATTGAATGGAAGAATAAATGGATATAATCACATGTAACATGGGAGTCTGCTTTCTTTATATCTGAATAAGGTATGTTGTTTTAGAAAAACTTTTTTCCATCCCAGTTCCATTCAGATGCTTGGATTTCAAGTCCGAACCTGTTATAAATGCAATTATTGGAATTGAAATCGTAGGGAATGATTCAAGATTTTCATAGAAATATAGTGCTCATCTAAATATTTATAAGCACTAGTGTTAAAACTTATAGATTTTGAAAAAAAAAATCTTCCATTCATTTAAGTAGAAGTTACTTTCTAGTCTACAAACTAAAACTAAAATATTTAATGAAAATGCCAACACTTAAAATTATTAATGTTTTCAAATACAGAGATAAAAAACTAACAAAAACATAAAAATAAATAAAAAGTAAATAAAAAGTGCATATGTAAAAAGGTTACTCCCCTTCCCTCCAAACAAGTATAACTAATTTCAGTAACAACACTTAACAAAGTGTAATGTTAAGTTATATCTTAATGTGATAAATACATGTTTCCTTATAACCTGCATTTATCACTAATAAATTATTTAATTCTTATGCCTGACTTGTTGCATGGTTCATCATCTCAGGAAGAAATCTTATACTGATAATGAAATCTATACTTGCTTTGTTAAAAGTTAAATTTAATTCTGAAAAAGCTTTATTTAAGGATGTTCTATGTCCTCCAATAAAATAGCAGTGAAATACCAGAAATAATATATAGTCCTCCCTCAATTACAAAATATTGTGTCTTGCAGTTCTTCTTTACTATCTACCTATTATTAAGAAGCATGAAACAGACCTGGGGAAGAAATTACATGGACTTCATTTTCTTAATTCTCTTTATGAAATTGTCTATAACCTTTATGTGGACATTAACTTTATTATATATAACAAGCTTGGGGAATTTACAAAAAAAATTATACACAGAAAATTGTTCATGTTAGTGAAAAGTGGGCTTGATTTCTAAAATGTACATATGTAAGTTTAAAATATATGTAGATCAGGGATCATGCAAATCTAATGAATATACATCAATTATGAAACAAAACTATTACTGCATTCTTATGATTTGAAATTATATGGTTGTTTGGCAAAAACCCAGACAGCAGGTGCTTAATTTTTATTAGCGGTATATTCTTCTTTACTATCCAATAATATGTTTAGGCTAAAATCCAAATGTCTTAAACACTTAAAACTACATTACAGCTTAGTCAACACTCTTAAAATAGCAATTAAATTAATTAGTTTGATTAACATTTTTATTTGACTTTATTGAGATGACAATTAATTACAAAAACCAAATCACAACTTAAAAGTTAAAAAAAAGTGATCATGACCAATTTCTAGCCCTCAGAGTTCATAATAATCTTAGTAAATCTCATGAAACGAGATAGGATTATATGGATTTTTGAGTTCCCAATTTTGTAGTCATGCCATATCTCATAGAGAAATTTGGGTGAAATTGAGGAAGATGATACCCAGTATACCTGAGGTTCCCATTTAACAGAAGACTGTCATTTTATTTTTCATGAAAATATTTAGAATGCTATATCCCAACAAATTCTCATTTCAAAACATTTTTGGAAATAGAAGTTATAGTATTTGCACTTCTTATTCTCAAAATCTGCCTTATTTTAGCTCAAATATAGAAGTAGAATGGAATAATAGAATTGGAAGGGACCTTGGAGGTCTTTTAGTCCAACCCCCTGCTCAAGCATTATACCATTTCAGACAAATGGCTGTCCAATTCGGTTTTGGTTATGTTTTTGTCATAAACTTGGCAAGCTAGACTGAAGCAGATAAATAGATAGAAGGATACAAAAACTTAACTATAGAAAAACTAAAAAGCCACCACAAATGAATACCAAGGATTGATGTGTCACTTATTTATTGGGGTTGTATGCACAAATCCATAGCATAACATGCAAAATGTAATTTAAAATAAAAGCAATAACATGTTTGTGATTGTGTAGGTATATATAAAATAGCCATAGTAAATAATGAAGATTAAAAAAACTAATCCTAGCAATTAAAGCAATTAAAATACACCATAAAATTCAGATTAATTACCTACCTACTTAATGTTATTAAATTCTATGAACATGATATTCCGTTAATATTAGTACTACAACACTTCAGCAGCACTTCAGTAGCTACATACAAAATGCCATTAGGCTTTCATAGGCTCATCCTTAACCACTTACTGGAGGGCACCACACTTGAAGCTAACCTGTTATTTTAAGAAGGTTGATCCATAATGAATGAGTGAAAAGCATTGTTAACTAGCTTCATGAAAATGTGAGTATGTTAAGACATTTTCCCATTAAGATTGTATTGAAAAAGTTGGTTCTGGTTGGAGAAGGCAACCTTGAAGGTATTTTGCTAAGGCCTTATAGGTGAAAACCAGCACTTTGAATTGCACTTAAAAGCCTGTTGGCAACCAATGCAGAGCAATCAATATTTCCCATTAAGCAAGCTTTTCCATTTGAATCAATTGTAACTTCTAGTGGTCTTCAAGTTCATATTGCAGTGATCTAGACCTGTGACAATGGCGGCTTGAGAGTTACTATTGGTCTTCATACTTCAGAAAAGGGAATAACCAGTGCCCAGCCAGAATTTAGCAAACACCTATCTGGCAGTAATTGCAAGTCCAGAAGGACTTCCAAGTCACACACCTACTTCCTCATGTTAATACCTCCTCTCCAAGAGACACCACCAAAGCTAATTAGGGTTGCTTAGGTTCAACTTTGGTTGTTTCATCCCATCTAGTTCCTACCAACCTCCTAACACTGGGACAGATCGCCAGGTCAGACAAAGTAGAGGGTTTTGTGCTTTTGTGCTTTCAGTGATGACTCTTGGTAGCTGTCTAGACAAGTTTCCTGCAGTTTTCTTGGCAATATTTCAGAAGTGATTGGTCATTGTCACTCAGGGATTTGTGCTTAAGGCAGGACTAAAACTCATGGCATCCTAGTTTCTACCATTTGCCTTAATCAGTACACCAACAACCAATCCAACTTATGACCTCCCACAGTAGCTTCATGTACATATTAAACAACAGGGAGATGACAAAATCCTGCTACAGTATACAGTATCACACAAGATAGAAGCTATGTAGCTGTCCTTTTCTCCTCTTATCACCACTAAATGAAAGCACCCACTAAAGAAGAACAGAGCCATTGCAAATCATTGCTCCAGTGCCCAATGCTGGCAGGTGGCAAAAATGATACAATTGTCAGTAATATCAATGCCACTGAAAATCCAGAAGGAATAGAACAAGAATACTACTTGCATCTAAATCCCAACAAAGGTTGATCCTTAGCATAGCCAGTGCCATTTCCACTCCATGGTGAGTCCTAACTAAAAAGCATCTAGCTAATCCTCTTCTACCATGGTACTTCGTAGACCAAGGGGTCTCCAACCTTGGCAACTTTAAGCCTGGCGGACTTCAGCTCCCAGAATTCCCCAGCCAGCAAATTCTGGGAGTTGTAGTCTGCCACGCTTAAAATTGCCACGATTGGAGAGTCCTGTGGTAGACTATGTTCCCACCATGTTTCGATAACTTTTCCCCAAAAGGTAATGTTGGAAACTGGTTTTTAATTATCCAAATTGCCTGCATCCAGCAAGGGCCCCTAAGAGGAGGGACAAGTCACAGCTTTCTTCAGGCTACAAGCACCATCATGCTCCGTCCTGTCCCCTATAGGATCCAAATTAGGCACAGATATAGTCATGAATGGCAGAGGGTATGCTACATAGTGTCTTAGCCATTTTATCAGAACCTACAGGCCAAAAAGAGTCCCAGCTAATGCCACAGATGATATCTCAGCCTTTGTAGAGAGTAAGGAAGAAGACTGTCAAAAAATATTAAGGTATCATTACCTAGGCAAAAGGAGCTGAAACATTTTTTAAGTCCAAACAACAACATAATATTTGGAAGCAGCTCAGAAACATGGCTCTTTAATTCAGTTATATAAGAACTGAACTGAATATAAGGAGGAGGAGGAGGTCAAGAACTTTGTAAGGTTCTGTTATTCAATCTGCTAACCAATCTTAATAAAAGTAGTTTTAGTCTTCCTTGGTGTTCATTTCCTGGTGTGGTCTAAGAAGAGTTAAAATAGAGCAAATATAAGTGATTCTTTCAGCTAAATACTGGGCAAACTGGTGATGGACTAGGCAAAAAGAGGTGGGGGGGAGTTTGCTCACTTTTCCTAAGAAAGAAGCTCAAAATCATAACAAAACTGTTGGTCAACAGCCCACCACCACAATAAAGGAGGAAAATGAAAAGCTTTTGCCTCTCCTCCAACCACGGGGTAGACCTGACTATGGGGTTGTACCCATGCTCAGTCAGGTTTGGGTTTTGTGTTCCTCCATCACTGCTTTAGGTATCATATTTGGTGCTTCATCTCCAAGAAATCAAAGAAAATTGGGATGTGGTGAAAAGCCACTGATGTACACTCATGAGCTCTAGTTATTTTCTGTTGCTAGTAATTCACTACTCAATGAAACTATCAAACTGTAGGGAAATCCCCCCCAATGCTATGCTAGAAGTTATTCAGATCCATAAAGCACCGGGATCAACTTTATTTCTAATTATATAAGCCACTATTTGTATGCATAAAATACTCAGCTATTTTAATTTGGGGAAGGAAGCAAAACTAAGCGGGGGGAAATAATCTGCACTTGGGAGGCTGGCGTTTCATTCCCTGTCCATATAAACTGATTCAAAGTGAACAAGCATTCACGAAGTGAACAAAAAATATGGTGAATATGCTCCAAAATGGTTCAAGAAAAGATCAAAATGCCACATTTGTCTTGTTTTCTTCTCAGATATAAATGAGTGTGAGACCGGCAACCCCTGTGCCCAACTGTGCTACAATATAGTTGGTTCTTTCTTATGCCAGTGCAATCAAGGCTTTGAGTTAAGCCCAGATAGAATCAGCTGTGATGGTGAGTAGTGGTTCAGCTTGATGAAGTTCTCAAACAACAGGGATGGGAGGGAACCTTTTGAGTAGAACGTGTTCACTGTTAGTAATGTGCAAAGAAAGCATCTTGCAGGTTCATTTCTTCTCCTTCCTAATCAGAAGCTTTAATCTTGAATGCCTTCTTTAGGCAATAGTAATATTTCTTACACACAAACGCAAATGTAAGCACACTGGAGTCTTATAACCTAATTTGTTCATGCTATGATTTCAGTGGCATGGAAGATAGACGCTAATCTGGAAACTCCACACATGTTGAAATTAGTTTCCAGAATTCCCAGGAATCACCAGTTGAGAATTCTCAGAAATATGATTTTGGCGCATCTTGCTTGTTATTTCCTAGGGAAGAATAATTCTTCCATGGCAAAGAAATTATAGCATGAGCAAGATGAGTTAGAAGCAAGTAGTAAAAAGACCACTTCTGCACTTTGATTTTCCCACAAATATTGTACTGGGCTCCCACAGTACTGTATGTCAAAAAATAGACAATCCAAATCATGGCTTAAAATATTTTGTCAACCAGACTAATATATTAGGCTCACATTCTTTGGCAAACTTTCGCAATTTAAAAAAAGATTTTAGAAGGCTGATTCTTTCACTAAAATCTTGCTCTTTGAAAGCTCTTTTTGCTTTCTGCTTGGTAGTAGTGATTCTATTCCTGTTCATGCACCTCATTCTTACAGACAGATGCAATTTCCCTCCAAAAACTGTCAGAAAGCAGGAAGGAAGGAAGAACCATTTGTATTTTGCAGCCCAAGTAATGAAGATAATAGGCAAGGAACAAGTTCAGTGTAAAAGCAGATGCTGAACCTTCAATAACTGGCTTAGAAAATGCCTCTGTTTTGCAGATGTTGATGAATGTAGAGCTTCTAACTTCCTGTGCCAATATCAGTGTGTCAATGAGCCAGGAAGATTCTCCTGCGCATGTCCAGATGGATATCAGCTGGTCAGAGGAAGAAACTGTCAAGGTAAATTCACATATCCGCAAAAGTAATGATAATATTAATACTATTTTTTTTTAAAAAATCAAATCATACAACTGATAAATCTTTGCTTAACACAAAATGTTCCCTCTGTAATATAAAATCAGGGCTGTCAAACTCGCGGCCCGCAGGCCAGATGTGTCACACATTACCCACACCCACACCCAGTTTAGCAAAGGTTGGGGGGAAGTTGTGATATGTCATGTGACACCATCATGATGATGCAAGTTTCACATCCATGTATAAAATAAAACTCACCTAAGAGATGCCTGATTTAAAACAGACCTGGCAAAAATGTGCAACCAACACAGACCACTGATCTCCTACAGCATATAGCATATTGAAAACCTAATTTGTTTTTTTGTCTAAGACTGCAAAAATCTGGGATGGGAAGGAGCAAGGAGAAATCAAGTAGGGTATGACTATTTAGTTGGGGAATCCCACTTAAAAGTAGATAAAAATATAGATGATAAAGATAGAGATAGATGTAGATGTAAATAAAAATAACTATAAGAAGCCTTGCATTTCTGAGATAGACTATGGTAGATGAAGAATGGGGCAACTCTTAGATCTCTGATGTCTATTTTGTTTTTATATGTACTTCATGATCCACATACAGAAGCTACAATATGTGCAAAAGAGGGGCTAAGAAGATAGTTTGCAGACTGCAAGAAATAATTAAGTTCTAACTACTAAGATACTTTGCAGATTCAAAGATGCTTTTCAAATGGCAAAAAACTTTCTTGGTTTTTTTCCTTGAAAACATTTCACTTCACATCCAAGAAGTTTCTTCAGTTCTGACTAAATGGTGGGGAATGAAAAGAAAAAGAAAACACAAACCAACAAGAAAGTCCAGTTGCCTTTTGAAAAGCAATTTTGAGACAACCGTAACCTGGATGTTTGAGAATTTCCATAGACATTTGCAGATTCAAGTTTATGAATAACTCCAGGCTCAAAGATTGCAAATAGCAGAATTGTAGAACTTTTTTCCTTTTTTTCCTAATATAGATATAAATGAATGTGAAACACGCAATGAATGTCGAGAAGATGAGTTGTGTTCTAATTATCATGGTGGCTATCGCTGTTACCCAAGAAATCCTTGTCAGGAGCCTTATGTGCTTGCATCTGAAAAGTAAGAGAAGCTATCAACAGAGTTCCAAACTGAACACCAGTTAGCAATGGAACGAGGATGTTTTTCAATCATTGTGCTTTCTTTTACAGTCGCTGTATTTGTCCAGTGTCTAATCCTCTTTGTCGGGACCTGCCATATTCCATTGTTCACAAATATATGAGCATCCATTCAGAGAGGACTGTACCATCTGATATCTTCCAAATTCAGGCAACCACAATTATCCCCAATACAATTAACACCTTCCGGATTAAATCTGGAAATGACAATGGAGACTTCTTTCTTAGAGTAAGTATTCTGTATGTTCTTCTGAAGTTTCTTTGATGCTGAAGATGGAACTCTGCAAATATAATGCATGCCAAATTAAAGAGGCTAGAATCAACAGTTTCGTTATGAAGAACTCTTTGCCCCATTGTGTCATCTGATCACTACTGAAGCAGGGGTGAAATTAAAAAATTTCCCCTACCAGTTCTGTGGACGTGGCTTGTTGGGGGAGGTCATGTGACTGGGTGGGCATGGCCAACTCGACATCACTCACATCGAGGGGCTCCTCACCGACCCCTCCCCTCCCAGCCACTCCTTGTTGCGAATGGCAGGAAAATGGGGAGGAGAATATTCCTGCCTACCATCCTTCCCTCAGTCTGTGCTGAGATTGAGGAATGGATGACAGGCAGGAAAATCCCCTTCCCCATTTTCCTGCCTTTCACAAAAATGGCTCCATTCCAACTGCTCCCCCCCACCATCCCACTCCCTCCTGGGGACTACCTTAAAGGGACAGGCTGCAGCAGCTCCGTTCTGAATGGAGGGAGAAAAGTTAGCATTCTCTCTGCTGCATTTAACATTGAATTCTGGAATATCGAGCGGCTGGAAGAGGTGAGTTGCAACCAGCCGGGTGTGGGTGGGGCCAAGGAGGGGTAATTACTACCGGTTTGGCAAACTGATGCCCATAATCCCTAGAGGTTCGCCCGAACCAGTCTGAACTGATAGGATTTCACCTCTGTACTGAAGAAATAATTCATGTTTTATGTTCTTCTGATTTTTTTACACAAAATAATTCTATTGTCAGATCTCAGAAATCAAAACACACAGTGATTCTTTAAAGCAAATTTCTTTATTGCTCCATACATATAGACAAATCTTGCAAAACTGAAATAGACTGCTAGCTACATCAAGCATATAGTCAGGAAGGTATTAGGGAGGGGCTGTTTTCACCCACTTTCTCTCACATAAACTATCTGAACTGAGTTGCCTCTTACTCCTCTGGAATGCTCTCCCTCCCTCCTGGGAATCCAGACTACATTCCATCACATCTATATTGGGCTGACCCAGAGTTTCCCAGTGAACTTCCATGGCTGAGGGAGGATTGGAACCTGCCCTTGGTGGTCCTAAGTTTAACACCTTAACCATTACAATACACTGGATATATCTCTGTGTGTGAATATCTATATAGGAGTATATATACTCTGACAATGATTTGGAAGAAATGTTTCCAATCTCATGCAAGCATAACACATCTGTTATTAATTAAAGAAGCCATATTTTAGAGTTATTAAAATGACCTAAAGCAGTGGTCTCTTGCACACTGAAGCCTGAAAAAGGATGTGATTGCTTTAATTAATAGGAGAGAAAAAGTTGCACTCACACTTGTGTGAGGTCTGAAATATATTTTCTAAATCATTTTCACATAAGCACGTATCCTGGGAAATTATTTATGGGTGCATTGGCTGTACATGAACATTTTTTTTCCTTCTTTCTTCCAGCAAACAAGCTCAGTGAGTGCAATGCTTGTGTTGGTCAAGCCATTAACAGGACCACGAGAACATATCATCGACCTGGAGCTGTTGACAGTCAACAACATGAACTATCGGTCAAGTTCAGTACTGAGGTTAACACTTATTGTGGGACCTTATTCTTTTTAGTCACTGAAATTAAGTAATTTGCAAGCTCCCAGAGCAACCAAAGAAGCTTTCTTTTGAATGAAGCACTTATGATTTTATTTATAGATTTTACATTGTGTTTTTTAAAAGAAAAAACTTTATTAAGGAAATCAGTAGTTGTAATCATGCTATTACACAATATAACCTGGATGTTGTCACCTTCTGTTAAGAAACTGCACCTCTATCATACTTACAATAACTTGTACTCATTGCCATCCTATAGCATAGCAGCTCTTTTCTGAAAAAAATGCATGGAGTGAATGAGCCAAATTACATTCTTACTCAGCTCCTGCTTTGCTGTGATTACTAGAAGTTGTAATCAGAACATGAATAAGCTGTATACCTGTGTGGGGGTCTAAGCAAGCAGAATTTCCAATTTCATAGAAACATCTTACTTCTGAAACATACATACTCGTTCATACATTCAGCAATCATAGCTGAGTTGTGGGGTTAGACCGTAAATATAGTTTATGTAATTTCAAAAAAAAGCCTTCATACATTTTCAAAGTAACTTGGTAACTGACCTTGTTTTCAGTTGTGATATTCAGGGCATATGTGCAAGTATTTAACCCAATACTACTATAGTACCACTTTTATCCAGTGAAATAGTGGGTATCGTAATCCAGTATGCCAATCCTTTGCTTGCAATAGCTCCATTTATTTCAACAGAGGAAAATCAATCCACATGTGTATTTTTCTCTTTAAGTGGATGAAAAGCTGTTAAGAAAAAGGGTTTCACATGTTCTTCACGAAGTGGCCCAGACCAAAAAGGGCCACATTGACAGTAAACTCAATAGGACCTTGATAGGAACTACATCCACATGGAAGGAAGTAAACACTGGGGTACCCCAAGTAAACAGTGGGGTACCCCAAGATTTTAGGTCCAGTACTCTTCAATATCTTCATAAATGATCTAGACAAGGAAACTGAAGGGGAACTCATCAAATTTGCAGAGAACACTAGGCTGACAGGAATAGCCAAGACCCCAGAAGATAAGCTCAAGATCCAAAAAGAATTTGACAGACTTGAATACTGGGCCCTATCCAACAAAATGAAATTCAACATAGATAAAAGTAAGGTTTTACATTTAGGTAAGAAAAACCAACTGTATAGGTATAGACTAGCTGAAAATTTGGGCTTAATGCCAGTAACTGCAAGAGAGCTCTTGGACTCCTAGTGGACAACCACTTAAATATGAGCCAATGTGGTGTAGCAGCAGCCAAAAAAGCCAATGCAATCCTAAATTGCAGTAATGGATAGAATCAAGATCACGTGAAGTTCTAGTACTGCCTTAGTAAGAGCACATTTGGACTACTGCATCCAGTTGTCACCACAATACAAAAAAGAGTACAGAGAACAGCAACAAAAATGATTAGCGGGCTAAAATGTACGAAGAAAGGTTAGAGAAATTGGGTATGTCTAGTCTAATAAAAAGAAGGACTGGAGGGACATGATAGCACTATTCCAATATTTGAGGGGCTCCTACAAAGATGAAGGGGGTCAAACTATTTTCCAAAGCACCAAAAGGTAAGACAAGAAACTATGGTTGGGAACTAACCAAGGAGAGAAGCAAGAACTAGAACTAAGGAGAAATTTCCTAGCAGTGAGAACAATTCACTGGTGGAATAGCTTGCCTTCAGATAAGGCAATATTGTAGGTGCTCCATCACTGAAGGCTTTCAAAAAGAGACTGGACAACCATTTATTTGAAATGATATAAGGTCTTGAGCAGGGGGTTGGACTAGAAGACCTCCAATGTCTCTTCCAAATCTATTATATGTAGTTACTAAATGGCTACTGAATTAACTACCAGTGTCAGTAGTACATACATATAAATGGATATACACATACAGTATAGCCATCCGATGCTCAAGATTCTAGATCCTATACCTTTCAATTCTCTCATGTAGCAAAACTAGGAAAGGAATCCTGCCAGTGACAGTCAAAATACATATTGGGTTTCACGGACAAATTCCTGCTTCATATGTGAAAGAATCACATATTTTCCTAACGTAAGGGAAATGCAGCAAATCATGCCAATAGGGGAAAGTAAAGTGCTTCTAGAGGGGGATTCTTGAAGTACTGTATTCCTTCAGGGCCCTATAGTGGAATATATAGACTCTCCTCTGAATATTAACCTGCATATTAAGGACATTTGAGTAATGTATATTAGATAAATCCCTTGCTGTTGTTCTTTTAAAGTGCCTTAAGATTAAAGAAAAGAAAGAATTCTGTAGAGAGTTATTTGTTCTCATAGTGGAGTTTTTTTAAAAAAACAAAGATTAATAGGTATGATAAAAAGGAAATAGTTTGCACTTGGTGTTTCCTGAACAAAAGATACTAGGCAAATCTTTTCTACTTAAACATACCACTCGTTGATATTTTAACTTTTCCAAGAAAAATAGGACATAAGGAGAAGTATTTGCCAAACATTAGTAAGCCTCTCAAACAAAACAATAAAAAAATCATTTGGAGAAATCATTTTGTATAAGTATTATTGTTTGTACAGGAGCAACCGTTCAAGTCTCCAACAAAAGGATGGGGAGAAGTAGATACATGTTTGTATACTAAGATCTTCCAATCTAAAAAACAGCTGTTTTTGTATTACTTCTTTTTTTAAATCATGTTTGGCTCTGGTTTTTCTATTTTTAAATTTGAGGTCCAAGAGTTAGCTTCTTTTGATAAAGCTTTCTACAATATGACATTAAACTTAGTCAACCGATATATCTGTTTTATAACTCAGAATTGTGATTCTAAATGTATGGTGTTTAGCAAAAGAAAAGTGTAATAGGACCTCGAGTTAAAAGCATTCTTTTGTATTATGTAAAGACTTCTCTTGCTTCTTATCTAAAAATCATAACAAAGAACTCTTTGATGTACATTTTTCTAAAAAAATAAATAAAGAAAAGAACATATCTTTTAGTGGATTCATTTTGTCTTGCAAGTTATTTTAAGCAAAAGGACAGCTCAAAGAAACCAGATCAGTGGCTGGTGTATGTCATTAATTTTACAGGGATGCACAAGTTCATGCCGGCTATTGTCTAACTTTCATTTAGTAGCAGAATTCATATTCTCATGTAAAGTGGAAAAAAAAATTATAAGGAGCATGGTTAGAAAACTATCTATTGAAGTATATCTACCTAAACATTTTAATTAAAAGAATCGTTAATACTCTCTAATAAAATATTGTTTCCACTAACCTATGCTCTGAATCAGTTCAGATTGTTGCTCTAATTCAGCAATAGGAAGCATGATGTCCATCACTTTAATGAACCTCAAAAAAAAAAAAAAAAGATGGTCTGTACATCATTATTATGCAATTACATAACATGAGGGAGAAAAGCAGGCTGAAGTGGGGAAAAGTGGGGAATAAGAAATCAATGGATCCAAACAGCAGGTCCTAGTGAAGGGAGAAGCAAGGGAATGGCAGCATGGAAACCAAACGAACACCAGACGCTTCTGAGGGGAGAATCGGAGGTTGCTAAGGAAAGGAGGAACACTAGGCTGGGGGACAGCTGCAGAAAACCAATAGCATCCAGCAAAGAAAGTGGGCATTTGAGGGTCAGCCTGACATGAGGGAGAGGACCTGGGACTGATCTGAAGATAGCTGCAGAGATGGCAGGATGGAGGAGGAAAGCATTGAAGGTATATGATTGTGTAATATGGCAACTGATACACAAGGGATGAACATTTGGTAATGGATATGCAGCCTTTATTTCAGCAGATGTTTGGATGCCTTTTGGTGTTTTGATTAAGATTTATTTTAATTTAGAAAAGTAGGTTACACCCATTTTTGCTTGTCCACATCCCACCTCCCCAATTTTCTATGAGACTTAGCTGCAATTCTCAGTTCCCTTAGGTTGTAACTCTGGTATTTTCAATGTGGCATTCCAAAACAGCCACAGTTTTATTTCAGGAATGGTCCTTAGCCCCAAATGGTGCCTTGAACTTTCTTAGAAAATAAAAATGTTGGGAGTATAGTGTTTGTTTAGAAATAACACCTAGAGCATAGACAAAAAGCAACACCAAAGAAAAGCAGGGGGGCGGTGGTGGTATGGCTAGTGATTGTGACAACCAACACTCTGGTAAATTGGAGCTTTTAAACCCAATTCCCTTTGGCAGTCACTTTGTGAAGATGCCCACCCAGAACTACAGAATTCCAGATTTGTGCTGTAGCCCAAAAGGTGAGGGCTTTCTACAAATGCTTGGGGGGAGGGGAAGTGGTCTTTCTACCTTTGGTTCTATTTCTTCTCTATTCTTATCCCTCACCTGCTCCTCTGATAAACTGCAGCTGTAATCCTACCGGTAAATTACTCCATCTCTGCAACATATAGGAAAGGAGGAATAACAATCGATATATGAAACAACAGGGCTCTGAAAGTACCGAACTGCACAATGGTAATCACATTTTAATATGTTGTAATATTGCTTTAAGCAATATTCATGTTTAGATTACAAATTACTTTGAGTGCCCTTATTGTTTTGTGATTATGCAACCTGGTGCCCTCTAGGTTTTTTAGATTACAGCTCCAAAAAATTCTTGTCCCTTGCATTATGGTTGCTTGGGGGGAGTTGTCACTTAAAAATCTGAGTGAGCCTTTTGGGCTTCCATCATACCCAAAACCCATCTTTCAAAGGCAGTTTGAAGATCATTTGCAAAATAAATCAGTTCCACCAATATCATGGGATCAGCTACAGAGCTGGTTTTAGATTAGCACAGGCTCCTCACATGAGGATGTCCTTGTGGCTCATATTCTAGGTTGGAATGGAAAGGATATGCATCTTCAAGTAGCAGATAAAATGTGGCTCTGTGCTACTTACTCCTTTAAGTGACTTAAGGAGTATGTGCAATTGACTTGAAATCTGCTCTGTGCTTGCAACTGTTTTGAAATAACATAAAATTGTCCCTAAAGTACAGCATCTTCCCAGAAACCTGGATCGTGTCAGTAAAAATAAAACTCTTGAGTAAACAAGTCTGCTGTGGGCATAGTAACCAAGTTCATTCACTCTTCAGGACCACCTGAACATGAGTCCAGTGGGATTATTATGTTTGGACATCTTTAAAAACAGGAGTTTACTGTTGAAATCCATCACCATAGTAGCAGGCAGTTGCTTATGTTTTGAAAAGGCCAACCACGTTTCTAACTTTATAGCTCTTCAACTCAAATACAGAACAGCTGCTTCACTGATCATATGCTATGCGTATGGGGGCCCACTAGGGATAAAGGCAACTCTTCATCAAATAACATTTAACGCCCTCGCATTTCCATCAAAAACCATAAACTCTGCTAGATGGCAAATCTCCACATTTCCCAGGTGGGGGAACACCTGCCTGATACAAAATTAAAGCACACAGCATCTGGTTGCTGTGGAGGGGGAGGCAAATCTCATTTCATCTGGCCCACAGAACAAATTATGGCTGCTAGTGAAAGGAGAGAGGGTAAAAAGTCAAATGCTTTTTATAGTTAGGCAAAAACAGATGTTAAATGGAGCTGTTTATCTTGTATATACTTTATGTATATGTTAAAAAAGACAGACCCTTTTAATAAAATACGAGTTCAAATTGTCCACAGTTCAGAATAGTATTCTGAGCATTGCACAGTTAATAATTTGGGTAATATATTTCCACCCACCATCACTCTTGTCCCAATCATTACTAGTGGACACAAGCTGAACAAGATGCAATAGAGGACTTTTCCCAGCCTTTTCTGTCCCCTTACTCTCAACTATCATAATTTTCAACCAGTAATACTGAGAATGTTGAGAAGTGTGATCTCAATACATGTAAAAAGCATCTGAATGCAGGACTTCTGGGTACAGCCTATGAACACCCCTTGTCCAATAGTCTAGATTGAAAGATCTTGTCAAAGTCTTTTTACTACTCTTGTGTCCCAGCAGCACCAATCCTGGTATCTTCTATAGCAAAATAGTAGACTACATTGGTCACCAATTCCACTTGAAGAATGGAATCTTAATATAATAGTTGCATGCTCCATACACACATCCAGGACCTTGCCCATGCAAATAGATTTATCAGTTTGTTTAGTGAAATGCCAGCATTTCTCAGATTATGTTTCATTTTTAATTTCCTTCTGGAGGACAATTGGCAGGTAATTCATATTTTCCATGTGGCAATGGCATTCCTAGCATATTTGGGCCCTGAAGCTGTTACTGTAGGAACAGTAACAGAATGCAGGCTGGTCCAATCACACTACTGCCAGCCTGCCTTTCTCCATCTCAGTTGCATTTCTCCTAGCAGCTGTTTGATGTGCCGGCAGCAGTGATCCAACTTCTCATCCACGACCACCATGTTCTGGATAGGATTCGGACAATGTAGCTCATTATTGTCTGTACCTGGAGTACAGCACACCCACTGCCCTGCCTTGGTATGCCACTGCAATAAATCTATATTGTAAAACAGCAGTTCAACATTGCTGGTCTTTCTGTGCACTATATAGATAATCCTTATTTAATAACCACAACTGAGGGCAGCAACTCAGTCAGGGGTGAAATCCAACAGGTTCTGACAGGTTCTGGAGAACCGGTAGCAGAAATTTTGAGTAGTTCAGAGAAACAATAAATACCACCTTTGGCTGGCCCCTGAGTGGGGAGGGACTGGAGATTTTGCAGCAATCTTCCTCTGCCACACCCACCAAGCCACGCACACCAAGTCACACCATTATTTTTAGTAAAAAAAATTGGATTTCACCACTGAACTCAGTCATTAAACAAAGTAACTGCTAAATGAAAATGGGTCTGTGTTTATAATCTCCCTTCAGATTTCCTTTGCTTTACTGACCTGCAAAGACTGTAAATGTGAGGATTGGTGGTAAAGTTGCTTTTTCATCACTGCTGTAAATGCAAATGATGATTAAACAAAGCAGTCGCTAAATGATGGCTACTTGCACTGCCAAATTGTTGGTAGATTGCATTTTGTCACCCAAAGGAGGCAATTGTGTTACTTAGAAAATCTTCCACTTAAGGGTATAGGGATTTTTGCTTTTAAAATATAAGGTTAGGTCAGGTTAAAATAAAAAGTCCATTGAGTACTGTGAAGATATCAACAATGAGATTAGTCACATAGCAGTGCAAAAATGTTTTTGAGATTGTGGAGGGGGTGAAGCCAGCAAGTATGTAGAAGTACTCTGTGTCAGAATAAGAAATACAGTTACGTACGGTGGGCTGATTGAATGGAAAAAATGGATAAATGTGAGCCCAGAAAACAAATGTGCAAACATAGCCATTTACTTAGGAGCTTCTGGGGAACCCTAAGGAATTACTGTACTAAATTACAAAACACACCCACACATACAGACACACTTTAAATGTTTTCCAAATATATTAAGGGATATTGTTAAAAACAAAGGACATAGGAAAGGGGGAAGTGGTCTCGATTTGTGTCTGAATGAAAATCAACTAGGTAGACTAATCTGACATATTCTGACTTTTATTAATGGAGAAAGTAAAGTATCAGTAAAAGGCAAACAAATTCAGAAATAAGTGTTGCACTTACTGAACAAGTCTTCCACATTTCTGAATATTAACTGCTTTTTCAGTGGCTTGTTGCATCTTGGTTAGGGTATTTAATTGGAATATATTTGGATATATTACTATTATTACTAAACAGCCAAAGAAATGCTGTCCAGCACCATGGGCCCTGTATTAGCTGAATGCACACCATTTTAGAAGTCGCTTAGGGAATTCAAAACATCCGAGGCAGATACTTACATGTTTTAATTGCATCTTGCAGAAACTTCCCAAATTCATTGCAAAGCCAGTACCAACTTGATTAGTGAAACAGAGTTCAGGCTTGTCAAGTGAACATCTGGGCATGACTTCCTGGCCCCAGATAATTGTGACTCTGTGTGCATGTGTATGTGTGCATCTATAATCCTTCCAAAATTCAATAGGGATGTTTTTAGAAAAT